TAACTCAGGAAAACCCTTGACCCCTTCACATCTAGGGGTTACTTACAGCATCCCCAGCTCACACGAACAGACACTCACAGCTGATGTTTGAGACCTGAAGTGAAGGGTTGTGACATGTTAGTGAAGAGTGAAAAGGGAGAATTATTATGCACACACACACACACACACACACACACACACACACCTATATATACACATAAACAGGCAGCATCACGCCTTTAATGGTTATTACACGGCCGAGATAATTAATTTAGAGAGGCAGAGATTGTGCCTGGGAGACAATCAGCTGTTTCTTCTCTCCCTCCTCTCTCTTCCTCTCCCACTTTCTTCCCTTCTCACTCCATACATCCCCTTCTCTCTTCATCCCTCCCTCTCTCCCTCTCTCTCTCTACTCCTCTTCCTTCCTTTCTCACTCCCTACCTCTCTCTCTTTCCCCCCCTTCTCTTACTTCGTTTCTCACTCCTTACCTCCCCCTCTTCCTTCCCTTCCTCCTTCCTAGTCCCACTTCCTTCCAGTACTTTTATCAATCTCAATTTGTCACTGACAAGCGAGACCTTATTCTAAAGACCCTCAGCTATTCAGCACACTACCAAGGACCTCCTGCGATGATCATATTAAATGTCCTCGAGTGATCAATAATTTGTTTTAACTACAGTACAGTATTAGGAAAAAAATTGTACAGTAAAAGAGTTGGTAGTGGTCATTTTAGCCCAACTATTGGATGTTCACAATTGGTAAGCAGACCTTATATTATCTAAAATAATGTTAAATATCTGGACTATCAAAATGCAAATGATTTCAAGGAAGGACTTCAGAGAGGATGTTAGAAAAATATTATTAATTATCATGAAAGGTCGATATAAATACACGCTTATTATATGTGCAGTCCGGGGGGAGGTAAGACACTCAGGGGAACGAATCGGCTATTTGTAGCTATGGACAAGGGGCATGGCTTACGGGCCAGCTTAGCGCGGAAATACTACAGTGACCCACGCCCCTACCCCCAATATGTATTATGAAAACAATCTAATTTGTGAGGATTTCTTTACAAGATTTCATTGTAAGTAAAGTATAAAATACTTAAGAATGTAAAATTCAGGAATTGGCACAGTAAAAAAAAGGTAGACAAAAATCTAAAGGCATTAATAAAAATATATTACTGTATCTTGATCACTTTAAGAATCGTGCCTTCACAGTTGACAAGAGGACCAAAGGGGCAAAGCCAAGTGATGTATCCATAGCTAGCCAATCACCACGCTGAATGAGTCGCTGATGAGTGATCAATTTTCGTTTTTTATTCAATATCAGTGGCTTCAATCGCAATAAAACAAAAATTGTACGCTATCTTTTATGTCAATGCAGCATTTCATACCATAAGAAAACTTAAACAAAAGCTCGTTTTTCAATTACGACAGAGCCTTGTGGGAATGGTGGTACAGTACTGTACCTCTCTCCTACAAGTATGTATCTTGCCTATCCCACTCCAGTCTGCTATCCCTCACTCCCTGGGAATGATGTAGGTATTAAATTATCTAACATTATGGTTAGCAAAATTACTAAAGGATATTGATGTACTCTGTATCTGGATAGTTTGTTTATATTTTCTCTTCCTTCTCCAGATTTACACTAATGGTAAGAAAAGGTTACCGTGACCCTCCCTACCACAACTGGTTGCATGCCTTCTCAGTCACTCATTTTGCCTTCCTGCTGCTGAATAACCTTCACCTAACGGAGAATAACTGTGTCACACACCTTGAGGCCCTGGCGCTCATTGTCTCCTCCATGTGTCATGACCTAGATCATCGAGGGACAACAAATTCTTTTCAGGTGAGTGTGTGGTAATAAGTAATGCCTTGTTCTGACACTGCTGAAACAATCCTTAAGATGTACTGTATTTTATTACAGTGAACCCTCACTTTACGCGGTCAATTGAACCCACGGCGGCCCGCTAAAGTGAACAACATAACATATGGGATTAATTGAAATAGAGACCAGGCCGACCCCCGAACTCCACTTTTTCAGACACAATACCTACGTTGTAGTAAAAATAACTTCTTAATTTTATGATGGTATGCACACGCAATTAATAATTAAGAGAAATATCAATAATATTAGGTTTTTTAACACTTACATTGGTAGAAAAGATGGCTGGGCACACGGGGATGGGGGGTTGGTTCCGAGGCAGAGGGCAGATTATTGGCCCTCACCTGTATCACTTGTATCAATTGTATCACTATCCACCACAGAGGCTTCCAGGGCCTCTTTGTCAAACCCCTCAGAGTCCATATCCTCACTATCACTATCACTATCACTAACTTGGGCCAGCTGTGGTGGGTGGCGGGTGAAGAACTCGGTAATGTTTTGATGACTGGGCGACCTTGTGCGCACCCTGCTCGCGCCGCTCTCCGCGTAAAAGGGTACACATACCGCGGAAAGTGAGCATTCCGTGTTTGGCAGGGTACCGCGTAAATGTGGAAACGCGTAAAGTGGGACCGCGTAAAGCGAGGGTTGACTGTATTGTAGTTTTTTGCCATGTGTTCATTGTACAGTAACACTTGTTGAGACATAAAATACAGGATTTCAAACAACCAGAGTTTTTAAAGTTATTGTGTATCATCGTTTTCCATTAGAGTTAGTTCATTTTAAAATTAATTTGTTATTTTTGCCTGTTTAATGAGTAATTGTACTGAGCAATCATGACCCAATGAAAATAAACTTGTCCTCAAGGTTAGACAGAGATAGCAAGGTGGCCAAATTGGGATCACATGAAGATTAGTCAACCCAGGTTATTCTATCTCTTGATTAAACACCCTAACACTAACCTGACCAAACCCAACCCCTTGGGTATTAGGGGTCTCTCTGTACTGAATAAAATTGTCTGCCATAAGCCAAATAGCTGAAATATTAAAAGTGGTGTACCCATAGTGAAGGGGTTAGAGCTAGTCACTGAACAGTACTACATTACAACCTGAGTTTGAGTCAGCTCTTTATAACCCAGAGGATTGTACCAGTTAAAATAAGAAATAAAAAGTGGTTCTTAATGTTTTATCATAACTTTATACTGTACTGTACCCTGTATATACCGTATATATAATTTTGCTGTTTTCTTATAGTAAGAGAATGAGAGACTGCTACATGAATGGATGTGATGTGGTTTGTTTATTTGTAAACAGGTGGCCAGCAACTCTGTGTTGGCATCATTGTACTCTTCTGAAGGATCAGTGATGGAGCGACACCACCTCGCCCAGGCCATGTGCATCCTCAACACAGATGACTGTAACTTCCTCGAGAACCTCAGTCGAGAAGAATACACACAGTTCCTTGACCTCATGCGTGATATTATCCTAGGTAAGCCCTGTCAACTATTAGGAAGTACAGGGTATTCCACAGGAGATATGGAGTTAAATGCATAAATTTCAAATTCCATATATATATATATATATATATATATATATATATATATATATATATATATATATATATATATATATATATATATATATATATATATATATATATATATATATATATATATATATATATATATATATATATATATATATATATATATATATATATATATATAAACCCTCACTTTACGCGGTTAATACAACCCACAGGGTACCGCGGAAAGTGAGAAACGCGTAAAGTGAACAACATAACATATGGGATTAATTGAAATAGAGACTGGCCGACCCCCAAACTCCACTTTTTGACGACACACAACTATGTTGTAGTAAAAATTTATCTTAACTTTATGATGGTATGCACACACAATTAATAATTAAGAGAAATATCAATAATATTAGGTTTTTTAACACTTACATTAGTAGAAAAGATGGCTGGGCACACGGGGATGGGGGGTTGGTTCCGAGGCAGAGGGCAGATTATTGGCCCTCACCTGTATCACTTGTGTCAATTGTATCACTATCCACCACAGAGGCTTGCAGGGCCTCTTTGTCAAACTCCTCAAAGTCCATATCCTCACTATAATTATCACTATCACTGACTTGGGCCGGCTGTGGTGGGTGGCGGGTGAAGAACTCGGTAATGTTTTGATGACTGGGCTACCTTGTGCGCACCCTGCTCGCGCCGCTTACACAACATGGCGGATGGCGGGAGAGATGGCGGGAGGTTTGGATCCAAAAATGGCGCGGCTCGCCAGCCGCTCTCCGCGTAAAGGGTTACACGCACCGCGAAATGTGAGCATCCTGGTTTCGGCAGGGTTCCGCGTAAACGTGGAAACGCGGAATGTGGGACCGTGTAAATATCTGGGACTAAAAAGGTGTAATTTTGGTAATTACTTATTATAAGAACTCTTGGATAATTTAATTTGTTTTTGCAACCCAAATTTCTTCATTTGCCGCTGTATTTTTATATCTTTGGTTCCCAACCTGGGGTGGTATTTCAGATTCCTGAGGGGGGGGGGGTGAGGTGGTCAACGATCAACATATGCCATTCAAATATATATAGGCTACATGAATTTATTTAATCTGTAAAAGTGCACTAGGTTTCTCACTTTCATGTTTTTTGTTCATAGAAAATTTGAATTTTCTCAAAAACACATGAGCTTTGATGGTTTTGAATATTAATTCTATTATTATCTAGAGTTCTAGTCGTCCATATGGAACTGTTGAAAATTTTTGCTCTTTTGGGTATGGGGGGAGGGTGCCATAGATACAGGGTTGACCAAAGAGGGACACAGTGCCATAAAAGGTTAGGAACCACTATTTTATTTGGTGATTTTTGGTCTTATCTTCTTATGTTGTACTTGTAGCTCTAATTTACTAAAATTCTAGTAATCACTTGTATTCTTTTTCTTCCTCCAATTTCATAGATTTTCCAAGTGGCATGAGTCAGAATCATAGCCTAATATTCTCCATATGTTAGTATCCAGAATTTTGAAACCACTGCCTTTTGTAATTTGGTCATGTTCTTCAAATAATTTTCAATAAAATAGATAAGAAACCAATTCTTTCTTGGTTGTGTCTAAAATATCCTGTTCAAGAGTTAATCTAGCCATGTAGAGTATTGTACTGTATTATCTTGACCATTCTTATCAACAAAAAAATTAACAAATCACTCATCCAAACAGCAACAGACTTGGCACACCACCTGCGCATTGTATCAGAGCTTCGAGAGATTGCTGAAAATGGATACGAACCCAACAACCAAAGACATCATGAACTCCTCATATGTTTACTTATGACTGCTGCAGACTTATCTGACCAGACCAAGGTAAGAGTAACTTTGAGGCTTCTTTGGAATAAAATATACTTGGAAAGATAAGGCATAATATAGTAAGACTTCACAGATTGGTACTGGTACTCAAGCGAGAAGATGCGGGAAACACTCAGTCATGTACAAATTAATTAAATGGGGAGTATCATGAAGACTCTTTTTGTGCCTGTGAAATTTGACTGATTATTATACTGTAGCTCGTTTTCCTTGCCGTAGAGGAGCTGTACCCACATAACAGATAGAATGTTTTTTTTTTTTAATCTTTACCATGGATGTCATCACCCCTCATGTATGCTAAGGAACTTACAGTGTATCACACATAGAATTACAGTACTATTTGTTTATGCTAGGCAGTTAGAACAGGTTTCAGAAGATACAGTACAGGTATTCCCCAATTTACAATCTCCCTATCTATGATATTTCGCTTTTACGATGGTGATGTATTGAGACCACCTCCCTATTTACGATAAACAAAAATAATTCACATGAACGATGGTCATTGTCCGGCTAGCGCTGAATATGGAATGCCTCTCTTGGTACACTTGTCAGTTTCAGTCTACCTGTGTGTCACCATGTAGCCACCCGGTGCACTACAGTCCCAAGCTTTGTTCCATGGTGATCACACACGGCCATGATCATGTAGCTCAACGATTATTATTGGTTAGTATCGGTGTTGTTACTTATCATCGGTGGTTTTTTTTTTTTTCTTTTTACACCTTACAGTGTGAGGACATCACTAACTTTCACATTTTACAGTTGGGTCTTCATTTACGCGGTCAATAGAACCCATGGAGTACCGCGTAAAATGAGAAACGCGTAAATGAAATAACAGAACATATGGGATTAATTAAAATAGAGACTGGGCTGACCCCCAAACTCCACTTTTTGCGACACAATACGTAGGTTGTAGTAAAAATAGTTTCTTAACTTTATGATGGTATGCACACACACATAATATAGAAGAGAAATATCAATAAGAAAATACTATACTGTACCAGGTAAAAGAAAAATCGAGGTTTAACACTTACGTTAGGTTAGAAAAAATCAAGGTTTAACACCTACGTAAGGTTAGGTTAGAAAAAATTAAGGTTTAACACTTACGTTAGGTTAGGTTAGAAAAAATCAAGGTTAGGTTAGGTTTAACACTTACGTTAGTAGAAGATGGGTCGGCATACGTTGATGGGGGCTGGTTCCGAGACAGAGGGCATATTACTGGCCCTCAGGTGAATCACCATCACTATCCACCATAGTTGTCAGGGCCTCCCTGACAAATCCCTCAAAGTCCATAGCGTCACTGTCACTATCACTGGCTTGGGCTGGCTGTGTGTGGTGGGTTGCGGGCGAAGAAGCCCGTGATGTTACGCTGACGGCTAGTGTTGATGTTGTCGTGATACATCTGGATGTACGGCTCCACAGTCTGCAACAGCTGGTTATTGAAGACTTCATAGCGGTGATCGTCAGGGTCGTTGGAAAGGACGAGCTTGAGTTTCTCTGCAAACTCGATGGCATCCTTAACATTACCATGCTTTAACTTGTGTTCTTCTCGGGATGACGCACCACCCGCCTCTTCACTGACGTCATCGTCTTCTAACATCTCGTCGGCAGTCACCTCAGGATCCCTTATCACCTCCATAATGTCGTCGTTGGTGGTCTCGGAGAAGCCTGCAGCTGTAACACTGCGCAGCTTCTCTTGCAAGGTCCACTGCTACTGCAACAGACTGAACCTCACCAGTCACAGGTTGACTCTGCCTCCCACCTGGGATACCTTGCAACACATGCCGCCATGCGTGATGAATCATTACCACAGACAGCTGCTCCCATGCCTCCACCAAGAAATCAACCGCTTTCTTGACGTTAAATTTCTTTCAAAACTGTTTGACGCAAACTTCTTGATCCGCCAACTCTTGTTCCTCGTCGTCGCTCTGGCTATCTCTATCGGTGTCACCCAGGTTACGCAACTCATTCTTGGTGTTGGTACAGTTGTTCAGGAGCTTAAACTTCTTTGTAGAGAATGCAGCCTTAACGTTGCATATCAACTCCTGGTCCATGGGCTGGATTAACGACGTAGTGTTGGGAGGAAGGAAGACCACTTTTAAGTTGGGGTGACGATCCAACAGTAGGGGCGAGTGTCCTGGTGTGTTGTCAAGGAGCAACAAAATGTTGAATGGAACATTCTGTTGCTCGCAGAATTTCTTGACGTCGGGAACGAAACAGTCGTCAAACTAGGAGAGGGACAGAGCAGTGAACATCCAAGCCATATGTGCGGTTAGCCAGTGGACATTTAGCTTGGTTTTGTCCATGTTCTTGTAGGCGTGCGGCTTGCGGGCTGTGTGGATCACCGATAACTTGAGCTTACAGGTACCGGAGGCATTGGTGGTAAACAGGACTGTGATGCGCTCCTTCTGCAACTTCCGGCCCTGACACTTGCTGGCAGACTTGACAACGAAGGTCTTGGTAGGTAGCTTTTTCCAAAACAGACCGGAGTCATCCATGTTGAACACCTGGTCGTCGGTGTACTGTCCTTCCTCCATAATGTCATGTAAGAATGGATGAAAATCACTAGCCCCCAACACGGTCAGCACTCGCTCCTTCACCACCAATGTTAATGTTGGTGATCTTGTTCCTCTTCTTAAACCCTTGCAGCCACCCAGAGGAAGCATTGAAGGGTTTGGGCTTTGCAATTCCCATCTTACGTGCCACTGTTATGTACAGTTCACGTGCGTAGTCCTGAACTGACCGCGTGTTCACCGTCATGTTCCGTGTTGCCTGACGAATCAAGTAGCTCACAAATAAATTCTCAGTCTTGAGCAGCACCTTGTTCTGACAGTACTTCACCATTGAAGCACCTGCAGACTTTGTGATGTTTATGTGTTCTTTTATCTTGGCGGCATCCTTCTTGATTGTCCGGATCGTAGATTCGTTCACGCCATGCTGGCGCGCCAAATCAACTTGTCTCGTTCCTTTTTCTAAATCTTGTACGATCTTGTACTTAACTTCGTAACTTAGGGAACGTCGTATCTTCTTTGGCTTGGGGCAGCTAGGTCCAGGTAATGCAAGGTTTTTCTGTGAAGGTGGGGGTCCAGCGGAAGCCATTCTTACGAGATTAGCGTGCACAATAGAACACAGTTTACACGGAGTGACTGGGAGGAGAGCGACTGACGCGGGTAGGTCAGCGGCTTCTTCCCTCCCGTGGCAGGGCACGTCAAATTACATTAAACCAATCACACCTAGCGGCGGAGGCAGGTAAGGATGCATGGCCCAATCACAGTCCGATATGTCATATGACGTCACCGATAATGCAACAGCGACATACTGCATAACCTTACTCGTGCCGCTTACCCTCGCTTTGGTCAAACATGGCGGGAGGTTTGAATCCAAAATGGCGCGGCGCGGCTGGACCGCCAGCTGCTCTCCGCGTAAATGACCAAATTTACCGCGTAAACAAAAACCTCGTAAATCCAGACTCAACTGTACTTTATTTTGGTGACTGTGTTGTGATTTTTTATATTGTGACTGTTCAGTGCTTTGTCTCTGTTGTTGTGAACACGATGTAAGCAGTGTTGGCTTCTATCGTTGTGTTTACGTTATCATCGTTCGCTTTGTTTTGGTGACTGAAGTGAACAGTGTACTCTTGACAATGTCTAGGAAGGCCACGGCACCCAGGAAAACCATGTCTCTGGAGCTGATGCTTGGCATTGTGAAGCTGTGTGAGAGTCAGAGTGATTTCTCCACTCCACCTTCAAAGAGTCCCTTTATACTCAAAGGGGACATGTGATGATGATCATGCTTGTTCTTAATGATGTGGTGAGTGTTGTGTAATTGTGTTGGAGGTAATGTATAAGTCTCGGAATTATATTTTCGGTGATACATGTGACTGTTAAATGGCTGGGAATGTATCCCATTGAACCCCATGTTATAATGATTCCGATTTGGGATATTTCGACCAGTGAAGGGTTTTTCAGGAATGTAATCCCATTGTAAATAGGAGGATACCTGTAGTTACCAGTATAAGACTGATGTGTGTTGTACATTGTTGTCTGCTGTATTAATAAGAAACTCTTTTAGCTGGCTTATTTGGACTTGTTAAATTATATCCTTCACATTGCAGCTGTCTAACCAAAGCATTTATAGTATGAACATTGAGGGCATGAAGGGGTTCAGATGTGTAATTGTGTACAAATACTTTTCATCTTTTAAGTAATAAAAATCACACTTCCCTTACCTACTCAAGGTCCTGAGATGCTGAAATGTCACTTGCTGGTGAACTTTCACATGAAAGATTATGGCAAGACTATTTGAACACTATTTGTGAGGCTATATGAATAAAATGCAATTCATCCGTTCAGTGTACCAAAAGTGTTAAATGTTTTCAATTGTTTATGCAGTTAATGGCTACTGTATCATATTTAAATTACTCCGTGTATACATAAGAACATAAGAAAATATGGAGTCTGCAATAGGCCGGTTGGCCTGTGCATGGCAGCTCCTGTCGAGAGTTACTACCACTCTCTATCATCCATGAATCTATCTAGCCTCCTTTTGAAACTTTCCAGAGTTCCAGCACTTACTACAAAGTTGCTAAGCTTGTTCCACTCGTCCACCACCCTATTTGTGAACCAGTTTCTTCCTATCTCCCTCCTAAAGTGAAGTGATTATTGAATAGAGTTGTGCTTTCAGTTGGCCTCCAGTCTTTCCTGTTTATTTCTGTAAATCATTCTGCCTGTGATTCATTACTTAACAGGAAACATTAGAACAGTATCCCCTGGACTTTCCTCTATTTTTTTTTTTTTTTTTTTAAAGCCCACCCGGGCACAGGTCACTGATCCACATCGGAGCTTGGGGGGGCGAAAATTTAATAATAATTAATAATAATAATAATAATTCATAGTAAATAAAATTTATAATAAAAAATAAAAATACAGTATAGTCTGCATTTACGCGGTCAATTGAACCCGTAGAGGTCTTTGTAAAACGAGAAACACGTAAACAAAATAACAGAACATATGGGATTAATTGAAATAGAGACTGGGCCGACTCCCAAACTCCACTTTTTCCGACACAATACGTACATTGTAGTAAAAATAACATCTTAATTTTATGATGGTATACACACACAATTAATATTTAAGAGAAATATCAATAATATTAGGTTTTTTAACACTTACGCTAGTAGAAAAGATGGCTGGGCACACGGGGATGGGGGGTTGGTTCCGAGGCAGAGGGCAGATTATTGGCCCTCACCTGTATCACTTGTATCAATTTTATCACTATCCACCACAGAGGCATGCAGGGCCTCTTTGTCAAACCCCTCAAAGTCCATATCCTCACTATCACTATCACTGACTTGGGCCGGCTGTGGTGGGTGGCGGGTGAAGAACTCGGTAATGTTTTGATGACTGGGCGACCTTGTGCGCACCCTGCCCGCGCCGCTTCCCGCGTAAATGATGAAATTTACCGCGTAATTAAAACATATCATTCTGGCAAGACACCGCGTAAATGACCAAACGCGTAAACAAAAACCGCGTAAATCCAGACTATACTGTACTGTAATAAAATAATAATGATAATAATAATAATTATAACTCTGTAGTACTGTAGTAGTAGTAGTAGTAATAATAATAATAATAAAAATAATAATAATAATAATAATAATAATAATAATAATAATAATAATAATAATAATAAAGAACCATAAGTACAAAAATTAAAAAAGATCAAAGTGAGAAACAATACTGTATATGTATGTTGCATTGTCAATAGTAAGAGAAACCATTGAGACCCTGCAATTGTGTGTAAATGAGGCAGAAAGTCAGATCAGCAACCTTGAACATGGTCACAATTTTCGTGATGCCATATGGCAGCAGGGTCCACTATTAGACAACACATTATGCTTCCAATATCTTCCCTGGCGGTAGTACCTCCCTGTTTGGTAGCTACCTACTACCGTCTACTGTGCCATGTTTGGGTGTACAACAATATCTCACTAAAATACCATGATTAATATTTGGTGACCAGATCATATTGCCATTTATGGTCATCTGAAAAGCTGTGCACTGTATAACAAATTGTCTGGTAATCTGTAACCTTAATGCAACCTCTATTCACTGACTTGCAGGATTGGCAATCTTCCAAGCATGTTGCAGAGCTGATTTACAAAGAGTTCTTTACACAAGGAGATCTGGAGAAAGCCATGGGCAACATGCCATTAGAGATGATGGATCGAGAGAAAGCATTCATCCCGGAGCTTCAGTTACAGTTCTTAGATGATGTGGCTATTCCTGTCTATGAGTAAGTATAGCTGTTATGTGTAGTTCAGGAATTAGGAATTTTTAATCGTAGTTAAAGTCTTATGGCAAGGAATGAAGAAGTTATTTCCTAAAACAGCAAATATTTTGGCAGATGATAATAAATTATATTAGTACAGTGACCCCTCGTTTAACGAACACCTCGGTTAACGTAATTTCGATTAACGAACTGCCTTCCATAAGGATCTTCAATTCGGTTAACGAAGTTCTTACGAACCGACCTCAACATGTTTTTGCTTGCACTGACCAGGCAACCACCTTTAGTATCAGTCCGCCAATACATTAATCGGTTCTAGGGCTTAAATTCCTTACTATTTTAGTAAATATCAAGAATATTCAATAATTTTAAAAGTTTAATATTCAATTTTTTAGTCATTTTAACAATTATTGAACATAACTGAAGGTAAAGTGACTAGTTTAATGTGCGGCATCCAGCCTCTTAACACAGCAAACAGGAGTTAGTCTCTCTCTGTTTTCACTGGAGGTAACATCTTGCTTGAGACTCTCTTCAACTAAACACTTTTTTTCTGTGTTTCCAAGCAAATTATTGGTCATTTTGAGATATATTTTACATATTGACAATATATAATGCAGTGCAGTGTTGATTTAAAGAAAATAATCTTGAATTACACCAAGAGAGCTAAAATTTTATGGGTGAAATGGCACCATGGGATGACTTCTCTTCCACCCCAATGCCTTCTCTTTTTCCTTCTCCTCCACCCCCATTCTAAATCCCATCATCATCATCCAGGAGCCTTCTACATACACACCTCAAAGTAAGTGAACTTTTCTACCATTTTTGTTGAATTTAGGAAATTTTCGGTGAGCTGGAACCAATTACCCAAAAACCCATTGAAACAATGGTTTCGGTTAACGAACTTTTCGGTTAACGAACGACCTTCTGGAACGGATTGAGTTCGTTAACGGAGGGGTCACTGTACAGCAATAGCCCAATTAGTGATCAGGACACTTTCCTCGAAAATGGAGTACTATCTGAATCAACGCTTTACAGGAACATTATACCTTTGCATATATGGAGATGTGTTTCTGATGACGTTATTTTTTACCTATGAGATAAACTGTATACAGTATTGTATGTGATGGGTACAGTACAGTTATTAATAAACACACATTATTACAGTAATGATCTTTACCAATTAATGAATAACAAATAAACAATGTACAGTTCTGTATTATGAATGACAGTCATAGTAGAATGAGTGAGAAAGGCAGTGTGTCAGTGAGATGCAGTGGTTGGGAGGGAGGGTGGCAGGAAGCGGCTTCTGTTCTAGTTAGCTGGTGAATATTGCTGATGTTACTTCACCAGTCATTAGCAAGACTGAGTTCATACCTGAAAAGAAATGAGAATTTCCGATATAGTACAGTAGTTTAATTCAAATTGTAGTGTAAAAAAAACCATAATAAATAAGAAGCAAGTATCTAGCGAGTGAAAAATAGGATAAATAACTTGAAGGGTCATTTGGAGGCCTAAATGACTATAATCCTTTCTTGTTAATGTTTGCATAACGAATAGAAAGTCTTTTCTTGCAGTTTGGTTAATACACTATTTAAATGTTTTTTTTCAGAATTGTAGCAAAATTATTCCCAGGAGCACAAGACCCCTACAATAACATTAAGACCAGCAGACGAAACTGGGCAAGACTACGAGATGTGTACAAGCGTAGGAAGCCTGAGTCAACAAGTTCATTGGAAGTGTTTGAGGATGATTCCCTGGATGAAGAGCTTGATAAAGAAGACTCCTGAAATGTCCTGTGGATTCTTTCCATTTCAATTTTTAAGGTAAATATTCCTCCCATATTCCTATTCATGGAATACAGTACAGTATAGACTATATTGAAAATATGATATTTAATAACAGAAAAGGTTGCCAAATGTTGAAACATTAATCATTTATCAGTAAACTGAAACTGCCATACAGTACATTTTTTTATTTTTTATTTTATGAGTACATTACCTTTGTTGTTCTGGTAAATGTTTAGTTTTGAAAGTACTGTACATACTGTGCATTAAATTGAGGATACTTGGTGATATTTGTCCTCCAGTGAATTTACATACATACAGGTATTTACGTTATACTGTATATGTTTTCGAAACTTCATGAGTGTTGCACATTGGGTGGTAAAGTGCCGTAAATAGACTACATTACTGTTTACGGTTAAACTATTTCCACTGCATACTGTACTAGAGAATTTATCCAAGTTAAAGTTGTACAGTTTTCTATGACTTGGAAGAAGTTACATATTATGTTGTTGCTGTAATAAACCAAACCTGTGTGCAACCAAAGATTTAAAAAACAAATTTATATGCTACATCTTATTACTAATTTTCAATAGAGTTAATGTCATGTATTGGAGACTCCTCTGTGGCAGCAGTGTGGCACAAACCCTGAGTTGAGACCCAGGGAGTCCCGCTAGGCAAGCCTTCACACATACTGTATATCCTCCCATTCCAAGTGACTCCCCAACAAAGATGATAGAACCACTGCAACGAAAAGTTTTGTCATCAACCCCTTAATTTTTTCTTCTCCCCCATTATTCTATTTTCAAAAAACAAAACAGAGCAGGACAACCTTCTGAGGAAGTATGCTTTTATAATGACACAGCCAGCTTTTCCTGATCAGAAAAATTATGAGTCTAAAATTAACTAAACAGACTAATCTCTTGATTTTATAGTCACCTCACTTATATCCCAGAATTTGTGTTGACATTTTGTACAGAAAGAGTTAACTTTTCATAATAGTCGTGACTTTAACAGTACACTGTACAGTACTATCCATAAATTATGAATAACTATGACTGTGAAAACGTGAGTCCTAATCATTCTGTTCATATGCTAACATTGTCAAATATTTCATTGCACTGTGAACCAGAAGCAGACATCTCATAACCATTGTACAGTATACACAGACACAGCTGTAAAGCACCAGTAAGGTCAAAAAATCTAAAACATGGGTGATTTTATAAGACTCACATAGAAACCGGACAATACCAATAAATAGGTCTTCAATGGTGTGATTTTTGGACTTGCTAAGTCTGCAATCCTAAAAGTTTTACTTATTCAGTACCATACTAATTACCTGTACTATTTTTATCAGTGGCCGACATGAACTATCCTTGAATGTCTCAGACATAATTAGTTATAGAAAGAGTGAAGGTCATTTGCAACACTTTAACCCTAGTTATTCTTCTATATTCCTCTCATTGTCATCCCCCAAATACCACTTGCTACTTTAGTACAGTATCTCTGTGAATTCTCTTTCCTACACAACCAGCCAGTTGCTATGTAGCTGTCCTTTTAGGCAAGCACTGCTTTTCTAAGGTATGGCCCATCACTGACTGCAGACTACGGTAACTCCTTTTTCATTCCTTGGCTACTTCTAAATGTTTTCACTTGAAATTTTCCCTCATTGTGCAAATGATTTGCAAATAGCTGTTAAAAATTAGAATTGATTAAGAGTGGTTACTGCATATCTCTGATTATGTACTTTAACCTTGAACCTACTAAGGCACCAAATTCTAAAAAATATATAACTTGGGATAATCTTATTCTTTGGGTACAGTCTAAATTTAACAAGTGATTTTGATAAATACAGCATTAAAGAAGCCTGCATGTCAAAAGACCAGCCTGGTTGGGAGGAATCTCAATCAAGTATCTTTATGAATGTAGTCAGTCTCCTGGACTACATTTTTTGCATAAGAGTATTGAAGTTGTTTGAGTAAATCAGGCCATTGATATCAGGAAGACACAATGCTCACCTCTCTGGCTCTTGCAATGTTCAGGAAAAGTAATTACCCCGGTAATTTCTGGCACAAGAGTCAATGAGATCAAGACACATCTTGAAGACACATCTTGAAGCCACCTGACAGAACAGTCATCCAGATCACCTGTGAATATATGAAAACAGTAAGATGTTAAGCTGAGCAAAGAACATGTTGTATCATTTCAAGTGAGTCACCTGAACAGGAACATAGGCTACAAGAAATTTGAAATAAAGAGAGTGCTTGAGCTTCACTAAGGTAGCCCAGTACTGTACCTGGAAACTGCAATGACAAAACCTACAAGGTGCTAACAGCTGCCACAGTCTGACCAGTAGTTAGTTAGATATAATCCCTGTTGCTAATCTTGCCAATGCTGAATGTTACACTTCAGAGTACCACAATGCCAGTCAACAGATTCTGATGCTGTACTAACATTAAAGATGATCTATTGTCATTTGAAAAAATCTAGATTATCGGTAAATTATATTTTTTGTTAAGTACGGACTGTATTTAAAAATCTCAGTGAAGCATGTCCTCGTGTTGCTGTAATAATTTGTTTTAATGGTGCCTTTAAAATTGCCTTTATATGCTTTCAGAATTGATGGTTTTATAAAGAAAGTTAAATTTCTGATAATAAATTAAAGAAAGAATTTTACAAACTTTCACACCACAAGTGTACCACATTTTAGAAATGAGAGAAAACGTGTATGTTTTTGTGAACGAATTACAAGAACACAAAACAATTGCATAATTAAATTTGTTTGGACAAAGATGACCATCCATGAAAGCATATACAGTAGACCTAACTGAGGAGTCATTGCCGAGAATAATATGCCAATTATCAAGCATAATGGATTAAGTAGAATACATATTATCCACATACAGTGGTCCCTCGATTAACGAATGGTTCAATTAACGAAATTTTGGTTTACGAATTAGCTGCCATTAGGATTTTCAGTTCCATTAACGAACAAAACTTCGATTAACGACAGCTTTACGAGAAACACGCTTTGTTGTGTGCATCAGCTGATCGGCTAGTCCGTCAATATGGTAATTGGTTCTATGTTTACATTCGTTTCCAGTGGAGTAAATATCAAGAAAGTTGTGCTCTTGAATATTTTTGCATTTTTTATATTAAAATTATTGGTCATTCTGAAATTTAGCTAACATATTGAAAATGTACAGTGCAGAAATTATTATGAAACATGAAGAAGGAATTAGAACCAATGCATTCTGTAAAGAATATGGCATGTCATCATCGACTGCCTCTACAATCAGCTGTTTGATTTGTAAACAAAGCTGCCGGGAATATGACATACACACCTCAAAGTAAGTTAAAATACAGTATTCTATTGTTTTTTATTTATTATTGCACAGTATAATGTACAGTACAGTCGTGTATTTAGTTTATATTTAATGTTTTGTTAATTCTATTACCTTTATACAATACTTTGTATTTATATTTTTTCTGTGAGTTGGAACCAATTACCCAATATCCCATTGGAATAATAGATTCAGTTAACGAAATTTTTGGTTTACGGCCGACTCTGTGGAACCAATTGCGTTCGTTAATCGAGGGACCACATTTGATTTTGCTGAAATTTCTGTATGTATATACAGTACATATACCATATGTCCTTTGTTTGGGTGTGTGTTTGTATGACTAACAGCCAGTGCAATATTTCAATATATTTCAGCAAGATCTTGTATCTCACTCAAATTAAATAGGAATAATGATCTGTCATAGACCACATTTGAGGCGTCCCGCATCATCAAGTGCATTCAGACCATCTGGGCAAAACCCATTTTTGGGGGGAAAGCTCTATACGATGGTAGTTGATAAGATCTCCTTACTACACTATAAAGAAGGTTGAAAGGCAGACATGAAATTAGTGGCTTGGCTTGGCTTTTGCATCGTGAGGTGATCTCATCCTATCAGTGAGTGAGTGAGAGGAGCGGGCAGCCAATCACAGCGGCCGGCCTACAGCCTCCTCCCCCGTCTCGGCCAATGACAGTGAGCGTATGCTATCTACATCACGGCCCCTCCAGCCAATGAGGCGGAATCCCTCACTTCTCCTTTGATGTGGCGGGATCTACACTCTGATATCGATTAAAGTAAGCCATAAGCGGTGGGGTTTTTGTTGCCTAAGTCAACATTGCAACAACCGATATATTACATGATGTGCCCTCTGCAATCAAAGTCCTTTAGCTTCAAATGCAAAAGCAAAATGATTGCTGTATCTCAACAACTAAGTTATGCATGTTTGAAGTGGAAAACTAAATCTGAGTTTTCTCGGTTTCAGGTTTTGTACCGAATAACCCATACGATGCAGGCTAATTTTTACTGTATATATATATACAGTATATATATATATATATATATATATATATATATATATATATATATATATAAGAAGAAAACTGAAAAGTTCCTAAGCGCTTCGTGTAATTCATCTTCAGGGGTAGTACAGACTGGCTAGTCTGTACTCACCTGCTAATTATCAACATAAATCACACCTACAGTGATTTACTTGCATATATATATATATATATATATATATATATATATATATATATATATATATATATATATATATATATATATATATATATATATATATATATATATATATATATATATATATATATATATATATATATATATATATATAACAGGAATAAGTGTCCAAATACAAAGAGTAATGAGATACCCTTGTATGTATGTCTTCTTCACATTCAATTTAAACGTGGTGAATGTTGCACTTATAATTTTACAGAAGTGTATCAACCTCATGTTCTTAGTAAGGTGGTGAAATCCCATATCTGAACTTTATTTTTTGAGCTGTGTTAAGGAATAAAATATTACTTAAGTTTCTTAAAAATATGTCATGGTAATAACATACCATTACCAACTAACCTATAAAAATGCTCTTGAATTTCTTAGCAAAGCCAGTCTAACCCATTAACCAGCAGAACAATATTCAGTGATGTGTCAGGATAGGTTTTCTGATGATTTAAAAAACTGCAAATGAGTGAATTTTTTCTTTGTTGGGGATGAACAGAAGGACTTTACAGTATGGGTTCCTAGCGATTTGGGAATCCATTTGAATTCTCCTAAGTTGCCTAAAAAGTTTTGTTTTACTGAGTTACAAGTGTACTGTATAATTTTCATACTAATAATGTACCAAATTTCATCCTTTCACTGTGGCTGTATAATGATTAGGTGTACCCATGTGCATTAGGTTTTAGAAAATTTTAAATAAATTATTTATCATCTTTAAATTGTATAAATACATAGAGTAGTCACTCATGATCAAGAATGTTTGAGTCTCATCTGAAACAGCCACCCTCTTGGTAATTTGGTTGTGTAATAACATGTGCTTTGGTGCAGGTGGACACTGGAACCAAGTGTTTCTCCTCTTCTATGTATTACCGGTATATTTTCCTGTAATTCACCAGTGGCTTTGTATGATAATATTTATTCATAACATTAATAAGTGAAAACACCACACTCATACTATGTTGTGTCTTTTCTTCAACTATGGACACTGCTCATGGGATTAGTTTGTGCACCAGTTTACACACTACTGTACAGTACTATGTACACAATAATCACACGATCTCTCTCACTACACTGTCTATTCAAACGTTTTTCATTGTGTGGTATGTCTCAAAGCATGGGTAGACAGAGGGACATCACACTGTGAACACTTGTATGTTCAGTTGTTTTTTATGCCCCCCTGGTTGTGTGGACACACACATGGTATCTCTTGCATCCCCCAAGAGGTTCAACGTATTGCCTTTCCATCAGGCATAAGGTATGTACCTCAATTTGGCCATTAGTTTGATGTCGGCAAGGATAAAACCTTTCAGTTATTTGGCGGACACCAATTTTCCAAAAGACTTTCAGTGGCTGGTTACTATCAGTTTTCACATGATGCAAGTAGTAATTGTTCACACTTCCTTACACATTCCACACTACTGAGTAAACATGTCACTTTTGTCTACTAGCCATGGGCTTTCTTACAACTTGTCATTCTGTTGTGTCACTGTTACACATCCCTCCTTCATGAGCAGTAGAGAGCAGGTGCACAACTCTTACAACACACAGAATGATCTTAGTGTGCTTTGTCACATGATCACCACGCCTGATCACAGGAAGTTTAGGCATGCTTCAGAGAAAAAGGTGAGGGATGGTGTACCAATTGTCAATGTAGAGTAATTGTGCTTTTGATGTATATAAAGAATCTAGTGTTTTGACAGCAGAACCAGAAATACCTAGATTTTCTTCATGCATAACCTCTATTTCCTTCCTGTCACAGTCACAGAGTACAAAAACTTCTACTCTAAAATGATGATGCTTCAACAGAATGATACCAAAAGCTAAGGTGACCCCTCCACTTCATCAGGCTCTTATCAATGCAGATAAATTTTTTAATGTGTCTGAATTTTGTACAGGGGTATTGAAATTTGTGCATACATAATCAAGAACTGTCTAAATTTTCTGCAGTTTATTACCTTGAACAAGTGTGTTGTCAGTGAAGTACAGCAAACATAAGATTTGCAAAAATCTATCTCAAGGCAACAGTTACCCAAGTATCTTTTGTACAAATACAGTACATGTGCCTCATCTGTTAACCAGTAGTTAATTATTATGCTCTTTATTTTTTGACATCATCATCATCATTATTAAACACAAAAAAAGAGGTACAGTACCGTGCAACTCATCCCTGGTTGTCTCAATCCACTTGGCTGGTCGGCTACAAGGCCAAACAGCAGGCATTGTTCCATGTACATACTGTATTCATAGTAGCAATTAATCTCCATCACTGTATGGATTATCCACAAAATCTTTGTCAGTAATTTAAAATACTGTATATAGTTCTTCTGAATTATCAGTCACAGTACAAGAATCAGTTTTACCAGATTGTGATTAATCAAAAGCAAATTGTGTTTGGTTGAATGATGCGGAGACCCAGTCCCACCTACCCTCATCAATGGG